AAGTTCTGCAAGTTTTAAGTCATCGGATCCATTGTTCTCCACAACACCCGGCCTTATCTCGAGCTGCATCCGTCAATGAGTCGAACAGAATTATATAATGAAACTTCGGTGAGTGTCTCGAATGAGCAGCTTTATTGAAGAACACACCTGCTATCATAACGCCTAAAGCTCATCACGTGCACTCATCAGACGGTCTTCACATGCGCGATTGGATTTTATGGCAACATTTCTGACACGATATTGCAAACTTTATGCCTCCTTGTTTGTCATTAGGCTTTGCTGCAGCATATGAAAAAGCTTACATCGCTGCCTGTTTGCTGCCAGCGTGTGTTGTTAGTGTACTGTTAACGCCAGACCCCTTGAGACCCTAATTTTTCGCGATTACTTTTAAATGCGTGAAGGAATTTCAACCAAGCTCAGGACATGGCCGTTTCAAGACAGGCCGAAACTTTTACAATTTAGATATTTTATCGCCATTTCAATATTTCAGGCACTTGTCATTGACTCGTAATGTTAAATTTCGAGCAAGATTTTCATCCGGTGTGTAGAGGCTATCACCAGTCAGCCTGTGATACGTTATGACGTCACAGCTAAGCCCCGCCTCTGTGGTCTTGGCCTGCGGCGGTTTCGGGCCGACGCGCGGTCACTCTCGCTGTGGCGGGGAGCGGGGACGGGCGACGGTCGAGCGGTGCCGAAAGCCGGCGGAGTTGTGCGTAGCGTCTTGGCTGACAGTGCCCAGAGAGCGACATGATGACTAAGGAGTCATAAATGCTCAATGCGCATTGCTTCTACAATGCTGATATGTTCGCTGATATATTTTTTCTTTTTTATAAGCTGCAAATGACGGGCAGATGGCATATAACTGACATAAGGTTAGGAAATATTCACCTGTATTTAAAGCCTATGGCGTTGCAGATAATGCGATAATGGGATGTCGGATGTCACCAAGTAGCTGCCGATTTGTACATCGCTATGCAACCATCGAACAACGCAATAATAAGTTAATTGCCTGAGCTTCACATCATACGGCTCGCTCGTATTTCAAACAGATACCCTACATCGAAAATCGTATTTGTTAGGAATCGTTAACGTTTGTTCGAAGCACGACTGAGTAGTAGGTTGAGGAGTGATGGTCCTCTTGGTCCTATATACAAGAGTCAACAAGAGCCTAACATTTACTTGACCGTCTGCTGCAATTGACTCATAGTACGTGAAGCGTCAGCGAAATTCATAGTCCTTCACAGATGGCAGGGGTGTCGTTTGTACAGAGGTCGCTGATGGGCACGGGTCAATGCCGCAGTCGTGGGCGGAGCCTAATGTCATATGACGTAGAAAGCCTCTATCCAGGATGGAAAAACAGTTAACATTACGAGTCAATGACAAGTGCCTGAAATATTGAAATGGCGATAAAATATCTAAATTGTAAAAGTTTCGGCCTGTCTTGAAACGGCCATGTCCTGAGCTTGGTTGAAATTCCTTCACGCATTTAAAAGTAATCGCGAAAAATTAGGGTCTCAAGGGGTCTGGCGTTAACAGTAGGTCACGTTAGCCTTCGCCCGAGTGGGGGTTTTTGGCCACACCTTCCAGTTTTTTGCGTGTGTAAAGAAAACCGCGGCGAGCAGCGCCGCGAAACTTGGTATAGCATATGATACATCAATTTCGCATCGTTTGTCAAATTAATTTTTGACCCCAGGTCACATGAGGTCAGGTCACCACTACCAGAAAGTTAAGTGGCCATGCCTAAAAAAAGTTGTGTGATTCATTCATTCATACAGCTTACAACCCAGAAGTTTGAAACTTGGGCTATTGCATGAGGAAATCAGTACCAACAATTTGTATATCTCCGAATTTTGATATCGGTGACCTAAGGTCAGGTAAAATGACCTGTATAATTCTGAACGATCTTATAGCGAACTATCTATTGCTTTTTCACCGCGTCCTTTTAGCTTGCTTACTTTCCGTGATAGCATGGTGCGGCCTAAAAGCCCCCCCCCCCCGACCCACCCCCACTACGGCGAAGTTGACTGAGAGGTCCACCTGGGCGCGGATTAGGTGCGCGGTACTACCAATCGTGGAACAAAACATTCAGCATGTGTGTTAACACACGTTTGTGCATTCATTGTGCACGCATAGCAGGATTTTTTTTTAGTCACCAGCATGTGTATTCAAACAGTCTGCACAGCGTTACGCATTGCGTTTTTTTTTCTTCCTCAAATTGAAGTAAGATAATTATCCTACACACACACCAGAAATTAGACGGATCAAATTGCTGATGAATTGACCGTGGGCACTGGGCAGGTTGGTGCCACCGTTGCAAGCAGCGGCTCGTTTTGGAAAGTCGCCGCATGAGCATAGCCACGAGATTATAAGAAACGAACTTTGGTACTTAACTTTGAAAACAGAGTTTTTAGGATCTTGCACTTCAAAAAATACGCTCTCTGTTTTTTTATTAATGTATCGATTCTGCTCTCATTGAATTAATTCATTCATTGTCATTTAATCACATTATTTAATGTCGTCTCGTCTTTTCGTACTCACATCATGCACCATTTCCTTTTATTATTTCACTTAAATGGTTTTCAGTGATATAAATGTATATCGTCATTCACTGCTTCGCCTAACATTTTCGGCCTTGCGGTTTATCGTTTTACCGTAACACTTATATTTGTACTTGCATTTACGTATTTTCGTCAGCTGACAGTCCACAACAGGGTGGCTATTACACGTTAATAGTCAGTGAATAAAACGGTTGCAGGAAAGTCAATATGGTTACACAATACACAATACACAAGTAAACGGCAAAACACAACAATCAGTTACCGCAACAACACACACCACCAACAAACACACACATATATACTCCAAATAAAATAAACGTTTCGCCGCCTGTTAAAAAGGTGCACTAGCTCGAATCGTGTCATGCCAGTTGCCACACAGGCATTTCTTAGAAGCGAGGCTGCTCGGTATGCAAACCCTCGCTGCCCGGCCGCAGTGCTGTTCTTGTCGCTGGCAGGCGCAGGTTACGCTCCTGCCTGCTGGAGTGATTACACTGCCTTGAATGGAGGACACTAACATGCAGCGAGCTCCTCAGGCTCGCCCAGGGCACGCACTCTCCGTGCCGAAACTGCAGTCTGCACGTCACACTTTGGCGCAGTGTGTGCACGTCGAGGTCGCTCCGCACGAGACACATGGGCTTACCTGCAGGTATACCGGCTCTATGGTGACAATATTCATGACTTTCAATAGCCCTTAGCCGTAAGCCGCGGGGCCGATCCCGTACACAGACAGATCATCTCATGCGCGATACGACCGGGCCCGAGGGACTTTGTGTCAAAATTGTTGCACTGTACTGTGACTGTACAATTGCTTGTGATAGGGTGAGTTTAAAAGCGATGTTGTGCGATGCCAAATTTTCGCGATATCTGGGAAATAAAAGCCTGACAAAGTTGTAAAACGGCCCATCAACGCAACCGGACGGGTTCAGGGTCGCGAATCGCGCTTTTTCCGCAATCTTAAGTGTTAAAAGACCACAATTAGGTTACACCATAACTCATCTTCTGCGTCTAATCAGCTGCAATGGTGAGGGCGACTTGCGTCGTTCCAGCTACCGCGCGGCCGGTAATGAGCGTGATATAACGGACGATATCGCGGCCGGGAGATGGTGGACCCTTTGCCAGGAACACAATGGATGGCAGGGCCGGTGAGGCGCCGCTGTCGAGATCTAAGCGCCCGCGCCGCCCGCGGCCGGCAGTTCCAGGCCAGTATGTACGTCTCTACCAGGCGCGTCTGGGGCCGGTCAGAGCCCTGAGGCAGGAGCCCGCGGACGGTGTGACGTCAGTGCCCGCGGCGCCCAAGCAGGTTCACCAGTCTCATCAACTTGCAACTGCACATAGTAGCCAACTAATGGCACTAAAGCCAGGTCCCAGCAGAAATGGCCAGAGAGGAGCCTGATGAAACCAGCCGGTCGCACGAGGCGTCCAGGGTCGCCGGTGACTTGCATGCGCTACGATAGGCGTCATCACAAGTGTATTCGCGGCCATTGGGGCGACGTAAGAAAAGAAGAAAACAACTGGCCCCAAGAACTTTAAATTATCAGTTAGCATGCACCTTTTCCTTGATGTGTAGAGAATTTACCATTATTTGTTACAAAAAATTGCATTTAAAATCTTCCATTTATGCTTTTTTCATCGTTTGCACAATATGTTCTTTTACTAAGCTAGAAACACTAATTAGAAATAGTTCCCGCATCATCAAGAACAATAGGGAAGGCTTGAAGTGAATAAAATAATTTAAACGGTTTTGTAATCTATGTGAAGGCACTTCTAAAATTGCCTGTAGAAATATTGAAGGCAAAAGTTCAACCTTTTCACAAGACGGATGTCTATAAACCTATTTAACTTGTGACAACTCAGCCGGTATTTCGTCGCCTACAGCCCAGCTTTCCCTAGTGACCGATAGAGGCGCTGGTATCAATGTCCGCCCGTGCCGCCTAACGAAATCACCTGCTCACGCCGGTTACTATGCACTATTGCACCATGCAGCGTACGGTGACAGGCGTGCACGTTTCATTAGTTTTTCTACGTTTAAGCATCTGCGATTTATGCTTTAGGCTGCATGCTCATAGTGACATCTCGCCTAGCAGGAAGCAAAAAAAAAAATGTTTCTCAGCGTAAACAACGAATATAGATGCAGAAAAAAGCAGGGGACAAGCACAATACAATGCAAATTCAAAATGGAGAGCGATCGCCATTGGCCACGCTTTAACACTTTTGCAGGCAACTGAACTTATCTGTTGCTCTAGGACACGTATTTAAGTAGGGCACGTAACAGCAAAGCCCCACCTATTCACGCCGGAGTTTGCAACAAAATGGATGTATGTCCTGTGATCTAGTCCTGAAACGTGCATATTCTAATAAAAACAGCGAAACAGCCCGGCCCAAGTCACGCATGAAAAAAAAGGAAACCGCCAACCTATGTAGCTGACTTTTCTCTGATTCCAGTGACCCGGGAGTCGGCACGTCGACTCAGAATGGTGCGTCGCGATGACGGTGAACAGAGCGTGTCGCTGCTGGGCGGCCGCCGGTCACCGAGGGAGTACAGCGAGCACCAGGTCCGTCCGTCCGTCCGTCTGTCCGTCCGTCCGTCCGTCCGTCTGTCCGTCCGTCCGTCCGTCTGTCCGTCCGTCCGTCCGTCCGTCCGTCTGTCCGTCCGTCCGTCCGTCTGTGCGTCCGTCCGTCCGTCCGTCTGTGCGCCTGTCCGTCCGTACGTCTGTCCGTCCGCCCGTCCGTCTGTCCGTCTGACGTCTGTCCGTCTGTCCATCTGTCCATCTGTCCGTCCATATTTGTTTCCTTGTTCGTCTGCTGATTATCTTAGCCATCCCCATTCCTTATTGCTTATTAGGATCAGTTAAAGGGACTATCCCACCTCCTAAAATGTTGTTAAAACCAGTTAAATTGTGCCCGACTTTATAGATTGGATGACCAGGAACACGGTTCTGGCATTTATTTTTCATTAAACATCTTAGGCTTCCCATATTCCAAACACAAACTTTCAAATATGTGACGTCACAGCCCAAAATTGCCTCCTTCCCCAGGCCACATTACTGTCATAAAGCTGATTCTTTTTACTCTGTAGGCACCACAACAAAGTTCAGACCAAGTTTTAAGCGATTTTTCAACGAACAAACCCATTTAAATCAAAATGACTAAACGAGGTGACGTCACACTAACGGTCGCTCCATGTTGAAGATAGGGCCTTGTACAAGGCCCATTTTCAAATGAAGGGAACGAATTTCTTCAACACCAAGAGGCCGCGGGGGTTGCAACCTAGATAGATAGTGGTTTCTGAACCTCGCCGCAAACTTGGCTATCTCAACTCAAACCCCATGTTAAAGGTGGGATAGTCCCTTTAAGGTTGCTTAGTCCACTCAATAAAAGAGATGTTGAAATCAGGACTGAACTACAATATAAAATTCACTTCTTTTAATCAGTCTCCTTCGATGATAAGAGTGCAGTTATAAAAAACATCGTAATTTGTGGCACAAAAAGGCTCGTTTGGCAGCGAGATCTGTGAACGCCTTCACACGCCTGTCGCGTGTCGGACCAGCGCGCTCTCGCTGTCCACTGTCCAGTGTCCACGTTCGTATCTATCTGAGCTGGTCGCTGTCTCCCTCTCCCTCGTTCCAAGCGATAGCCAGTAGTGGTTGGACTGATCAGTCTCGGCGAGCGGCCGTAGGTATTCTAACGAGCGCGCCGCGCGCCGGGTGATGGTCCCGGCGTGTCTGAGCGGCGACCCTCAGTGAACCCTCCCCCGACCTGATCTCGGCGGGCGTGTGACGAACGGGCGCCGCCGTCTGCCGCAGCGTCTGCTGGAGACGGAGCTGAGCCGCGAGTCGGCCGGCTACGGCGCCGTGAAGCCACTGTCGCCACTGCCCACCGGCGGCGTCACGCTCACATGGCACGATGTAAACGTCTACGTGCCCGACAAGAAGAACAGCAGCGTCTTCAGCAGCTGCCAGTCGGAGGCGCCCAAACTGAAACGGGTGCTCAACAATGGTGAGTACGGGCGTGCTCTGCCACACCTCTGCTTGAAAACGCTTCTGATATTCAACTTTGTGTGTACTGTCCATGAGATTAAAATCCTCTATCTACATGCCTACCTGTGATTCAGTTAGCTCTTGTAAATGTTGACTTAAGCCCGAACCTCATATCAACCTACTTTCTGTTCGCATTTATCCTCCGTGCAGTATATTGTTCTACGTTACCCCGGTCGTGACCTCCGCCCTGCTGTGTGCCTTGCGGCAGTGTACGGCGCCGTGCTGGCCGGTAACCTGGTGGCCGTCATGGGATCCAGGTGAGTCCGATAGCGAGCCGCGCACTGCGGTCTCGGCTGGCCCGGCCCGCGCCGGCTGGACGCCGGGCTGGGTGGGACCCCCGCCGGGGTGTGGGTCAGCTGTAGCCGGCGTGCGGTCCGGACTTCCCGCACACAGATCGAATATCGGTGGGGACGGGACACCTGATATCGGTCACGCGCTGCGCTTCCTTCCCGGCCCCGCCGGAGGGAGGGTCTGAACATCATGGCAAGGTTTATAGAGATAGTATATCAATGGAACAACCAGTTCGTGACAGGAGAAAGACGTTTAAAAAATGAATCCACGAGTCAAGTGCTGATTCCCACACGTCAAAGTAGGCTCCGTTCTGAGGCCCGATAATAAATAGTTTGATTGTGTTGAAATGTGATTGATTGATGGGCATACAGGCGATCAATTTCCATATGTCAAACTAGGGTATCACTGCACGTGCGCACGTGCATAACCTGTTAATATGTCAGCAACGGCTGGACTGCAATCACGCTAACGCGTGGCATGCCGTTAGGAACCGGTAAGGTGGGTGGTTTCAATCAGTTAATGAAGACTCAACACTACTGGCTCACACGTTGAAGCTCCACTTCTGCGTTTGTGCAAGCTATGGTGCAAGATACGTAGACCTCTATTTCGACGACTTTGAACTTACAGTTATCGGGCATACTCAGCGTTTTATGAAAGCAGGTTGTTGGGCAGATAAATTGATGAAAGGCTGCTGAAGGCTTTCGGAAAAAAAACATCGTGGGATAAAGGGCAATCGGTGACATCTACCCCGCAGCGTGCGAAGCTAATAAGAAGTGCATTTTTCCTTGCGTAGAAATACATCAGAAGATAATATTCAGCTGCTCAGAGCGCATAAGGAAGCAGGCTCTGCTGCTTCAATGTTTTTTATTGGGAGAAGTTTTTGGGAAGCATGCTCCCTGCAGCGTCCAATGTCACATTCTGGAACTCCCGTGAAACGAAGAAAAATTCACACAAAAAGAAGGCACAGGCTTGTAGTGAAATTGAGAAAATTAAATGAGTCGATCAGTAGAAAGGTAAACATAAGATAAGATTCAATGTCGTTTGACGTTGAGGTAACCAGAACCGTAGGTAATCATTCCTAAACAAATAAACAGATTCAAATTCAAAATGGCTTTTCTATCGACATTATAATTCACTGGCATCAAATTCATCATATTGAGGAGGAAAGTGCTGTTTTGCCGTTTTTCAGCGACCATCTCCTGACGGATATTACCGACAAGCACAACGGTCAGGCACGAGCGCCAGCCCGCCAATCACCCCTTCCCCATCAATTTAGAAATAGCAAGCATTTCTGCTGGACGCTTTTCAAATCACTAACCCGCTATCGAGCCACAATTAACCAGACTTATCAGCATATTGCTTTGGTTTGCGGTTATCATGCCAGGCCATGCACATGGAAGTAAATGGCCGTAAATCGTCAATCCCTTTTTGTTGACCATGCTCATCGTTGCATGCCGTGCCCCTGCCATCGGGCATAGTTGGAAACTCTGACTAATATTTGTACATGATCACCTGCGGTAGGCTTCCCTCTGATGGTAACTATGCCGCCAACTGTCAAGACGGCCGTAATAAATCAAATGCTTTGTTTTGCTGCAATGTCCGGGGGTCATTAAGTACACTAGTTGTTTGGACGTCAATACTGTTCTCTGAATACCAATTAATTCGTGACATGCTCAATTCATCAATCACATTTTATTTATATGCGTATTTATCTTATATTTTCGTACACTAGAGAACGTACCGATGCAACAGATATTCTACTTTTAGGCAGTCGGAAAAGGTAAAAGTCGCATATCTAGCAGTCCGTAAGCTCTGGAGAAGACCATTTATCATGAAAAATATCCTTGATGTGCAACTGTAATGCTGGTCAAAAGCTTTTGAACACCTGACCTCTACTCGATATGTCGAGGAAAAAAAGCAGAAGCATTCCAACATACACTGTCATAGCCATCACTATACGCTGGTCTTGTGAACATTAAAAAAGTGGTCTAAGGCACAACAATTATTTATACACATTGCACGGTGCACAAGCCCGCATTGTGCATACTGAAGTACCTACACGCTAAGAGCATCTCTCTCAAAGCTATCAAGAAAGCTAAGCTACCTCCTGTCTGTCTGTCTGCAATGACTGAAAACGCGTGCAAAGTGCTCCAAAGGCATCTCAGCTCCGTTCTTTCCAACGTTGGCGCCATAGGGCAATAGGACGTGGAAGAGAAGAATACCCAGCGGCCAGCGATGCGATAATTAAACAACGGAGCACAACGATCACGAGATGGCCGCACGAAACATCTTCCATCTTCACTGCATTATAATCTCATCAACCCGTAGTAGCGTCCGGTAGCGTGCAATGATGCAACGCAGCCGCCGGCAAAAATGACGGGAAATCCCCGACCACTCTGGCGGGCCTTTTCATTCATAATTGGTATAATATTAACTCAATGATTAAATCTATCAATTACATATACAGCCAAAATTTTGCTGTCGTGTCGATTTTTTTTGATATTTCCGATTTCGCATGTTGTGTACGAATTTCAATACCAATGGGATCTATTTTCATTTTCTTTATGACTATGCGATACAGTTCTTACACAGGTACGCATTAAAAAAAAAAAATCCATCTCCCTCGTCTCATTGCGTTGAGTTATTAAACGTCATAATGATATTTAATGTGCCATAATGTCACTTACATAGTATAATTAAACTCAGTAATAATGTAATGTGCCGTATTGTCACTCATCATAGTGTGCAATTCAACTCAATAATAATGTTAGATTAACCCTCGCCGGGCCAGGGGGGTTGATGCACACCCCCTAAGGTTTTCGCAAATAGCGTAAAAACGGCGACGCGTAGCGCCACCAAATTTGGCATACTCCTTATGCGCGAGACAGTGCGAATACGTACTTGTTGTGTTCACCAGATGTTATTAAGCTGGTTTTCTTCTTGACACAGAACGTTGAAATAAAAGTCAGCGAAGTACTTTTATTGCGTTCCTTATGGGCAATTTTTCATCTTAAAACCTTTAACCCGGCAGTTGCTGGGGTATTTCGCCACCCACCGTTTGCTGGGGGGGGGGGGGCGTTAAACGCCCCCAGCCGATAACTCGAGAACCAATAGGCGCAGCGAAACGCACGAGGCGGCAAACGAAAGAACGCGACGAGACGCGTCAGATGAGTACTTTAAAGTTGAATTTTGAGGTCACAGGTCGGGTCAAGGTCAGGTCAAACACCTGAAATCGGGCTTCCAGTAGCATGGACTTCAGGACTTCGCAATGGGCGGCTCTCGTCATAAACTCTGTCAAAACGGTGCACAATCCATCATATAAGGCCTACAAGAGTGTCAGCTTCATGTAGGGGTCAGTCAAGCATAGGTCAGGGTCAAGGTCAGGTCAACCGGGTAGGCACATGTCCCCGAAAATCAAAACTGATATTCGCAGCCTGTGACACATGTTTTATGGGTAATTTGGGGCGTAGAACACGATGGTGAAATTCATTTTGTCATATGTGTACGTGTTTGGCTCAAAAAGTTCAATTTAAGAAATGCATGTATCATGGTCGTGAAGTAGTCACGAGAAATTGCCAAGATTCAGTTCAAGATTTTGGAAAATGCAGATCGATAATCAATAATCGAAGATAGCCATTTGATTGTTCATGGTATTGGCAGTCTAATGGCGTTTACGGCATGTCTGTATGTCTATTCTGTGATTTTATATGATTTTTGGAACATATGCCGTTTTTGGTCGAAAACTCAGAAATCATGACGTCACTAAAACCTCGATATCTCAAAAATTTTCTGACCGATTTTTTTGAAACTTTGTCACAATACACTTCAATCAATTCCATACAGGTACCCAAAATTTGGCGCGCCTGCGGCGCGCCGTTTTTATGCTATGGCCCGGCGAAAAAAGTGGGGGCGTTTAACGCCCCCCCCCCCAGCAACTCGCGGGTTAAAGTGCCGTCAGCACTATGGCCTTTAAATGACGCTGGATTGCACCTGATTATGCCAGAGTAGTGAATTCAGCCGTAGGTACGGGCAATGAACATGCCGTCAGATTTAAAACGAGCCTCGGGCATGGCAAAACAGCTTCTGGAAATGGCTTACAGGATCTGTGGTAATGAATGTTCATAAATCCATCACTGGATAGTATATAATACTGCACGTAATGAATGGTTTTGCACACTTAAGAAGGAGTACCTATTAAGGAAAACGAGGTATAGAAATGCCTAAAAGAACAGATCCGGTAATTCCTTCGTAATAGGCAATAATCTTGCAAAGATAATTGGCATTGTTGTCAACTTCCCTAAAAAATAGTAATTTCAATAAGTTTGCTTAATGATCATCCATTTTCACAAAAAGTGACTTGTTATTTGCTCCCCCACTCCTGTTTTCATAAAATGTAGCTGAAGTTACCTATTTCGTAGCTCGAAAAAAAATACAAACTTAAATGGCGTGCATTATTTCACACATATTTTGACCCAAAGAGATGCTAGAATAAACAAACCGAAAAAGCTATAGCCGCCAACTGAAGTCCCGATGCCACTCGCACTGGGACGGGGGACCGAGTGGTTGGAAGCAGTGACCGGCGAGCTGGGGACGAGTGGCCAACTGGCTGGGACGAGTGGCCGACTGGCTGGGACGAGGGACCGGCGAGCTGGGACGAGGGACGTACCCGGTGACCGGCCGGCCGGCTGGACCGTCAATACAAGGTCAGCGATATACATACGCCGTGGGACATCCAAGTAGCCCCGATAGGTAAACTTAGGGAAAAATAATGCGCTGCTCCGTTGCAACAACAAAAGCATGGAATGGCTGATAAATTTGCTCATCGTGAACTAAGCCCCCGCATGACCCGAAGCCGGATATCCGGATAGCATAAAAAGCGGAAATAAGCAATGTTTGGAATATGCCCGTAACGCATGCCCGTATAATGATGTTAATTAAACATTCGATGCCAGGAGGGGGGAATCTAACCTTGTCTTCCCCTGCCGATTAATTCGCTTTTATGCTACACGTATACGTAAAACATTTTAATCATGTGGCGCCCATGACCCCGCGCCTCTGCTAATTGGCGATACTGTACAGAATACAGATATCCCCGACTGTCGAGGCATCGACCGACGGATCCAGAGTTAGGTATGCCCTCTGGCGAGCCCGGTTTGGAAAGGTGCCGAGGACACTGCTCTAAAAATAGACCTCATCACCGTCAATAGATGGAAATTCGTCACCTCGAACCAGATACCATAAATAGACTTTCAACCGTAATGACCGGCTGTAAAGTGCGTTATTGTGAATGAAATGCTATAAATGGCGTTCTCGATCCATGAAATTCTTTTGTGAAAAATATCTCCCCCTGAATTAGGTATGTGCGAGGAATAGCAAGTCCCAAATGGGACAAATAAATGCATTACGAGCGGCTTCTGGTTATCATTACCTAAATGTAAAACTCTTAGTATGCGCGTACGCGTACCTCTGTTCGCCGGTTTTAGATTGGGTATGGCTGAGGAGAGCCGCTCGCCGACGCGGGTCATCATTCGGTCCCCGCCGGGGTCAATGAATGCCGATCGGTGGGTCACGGCAGATCCTGCCGTGGCAGACCGGCAGACCTCACTGCAGGTCTGCCGGTCTGTAGACCCACGCCGTGGACCTTGCGGTACACCCCCGCCTCGGGTCGCTCGGTCGCATTGTTTGCCATCTGGGAGAGGCGCATGCCAGGGTATGTGTTCGACTGAGTTGTAAGGCAACAACTGTCACGGGTCTAGAACGTAAACAACACCGGCACTGGTGCGGGTGTCGGGCTGATTGTGGCTTGTTTGAGTTAAGAGGCACGCGTTCCGGCGACGTTGGTGCCCGTCGGGCTGTGTGGAGTCAGGTGGAAGCGCGCACTGTCACGGTAGGAATATTGCACCGCTCAAACTAGAGCGGCCAGCAAATGATTGGAGCGAAAGCAACTGTCATCGCTTCTGTAGTGATGCCAGTGGACCTCTGTTTTAATTGGTCCAGTCTGCCAATTTGGCCACTCTTTCATCGAATGAATGCATTGTTTTTGGAGGTGATGCGATGACACCCGATGTTTAAGAGTGTAGGTATAAGAACTTAGTTACACGGTATACACACGTAGACTAATTTCACTCAAGTTACTCTGACAGCTCTCGACAGTTTTCTATTAATTATGAATTCCAGGGCCACACGATCACTAGAGAAGCATTTTAAGATACTAAGGTTATCAGGCGGCATATACAGCTGATTACATTTATGGGGACATTAGGAAGCATTAATGAGGCGAGCGTTGCCCATACAAACAGTGAACGAGTGATAAAAAGTAGTCGGAACGTCAGCAGCATGTTCGTTATTGATGTCCTTTGGGATATCGTCTCAGAAGTGTAAACCGGATGGCAACGGGAGGTTCTTTACCATTGGTAACAAATGAGGTGCTTTAGCGTTAGTAACTAATTAATAATTAATTACCACTTAAACGAGCGTCTAGACACAATAACTTGCATCGCCATATTATCAGTACAAAGGTTATCGTGTAGACATGATTATGTAATATTTTACATTAATTGGTCAACTCTCCTTGGAGTTGGCAATGCACCAAGGTTCATCCAAGACGACAAGATACGAAATCAAACGTCGTGATTTGTTGGCACTGGCCTTTTCACTTAATCCTCGTAGGCTCTCCCAGCCATTGCACTGGTGTGTATCAAAAGCTACTTCCTACTTGCGACAATTAACCCTCGCCCTGCTGCGGGGTTAATTACCCCCCCCCCCTGCTTTACTGCTTTTACACCCTCCTGTGGTATTTCGCAAATATCTATAAAAATGCACTCCACTGCATTTCGAAAAATGCCGCACTCCGTCGCCGGCATCTTTTTTTTTTGACAGGCCAGGGTCTTCGGTCCCTAGAGGGCCGCCCCACCGCCCTGGATCCGCGCCTGGCTTTCACTATATATCTATAGTTATAACTAATAACTATATGTAGACGTACAAAAATCAATCATTCCAAACACTAAGAAAATGATAAAACTCGTTTTGGTTGCATATGAGCATATGTTATTTACGAGTTTATCCAACCAAGCAATATTAATTATTAAACCTATTATTTTCAGGGTTTAACTGCCATAACTAGCATTGGATTGTTCACGTGTTTGACTGGTTAGGTCACGTGCGGAAGTCTGGTGGAGGTCCCATCCCATCCGTCTCGAACCAATCACTTTCATTCCAGATAGGATCAGTACCACACACCGTCTGACTCCCAGTATGTCAGACGCATTTAACATTCCCCGGCCTGACGCGTCATTAAACTTCGAGTTGTCTGATCGCGTTAGTGTCAGATCACACGAACACGCTTATTGTAAATTAGCTTAATCGTGATAGTCTATTTCTTAAGTTCATTATTTCTTTAAACATCCAAATCCTTTGATAACTGGGACAAATCACTCTTCATCTTATTTCTCTTCATGGTGACCGTAACGACAGGAGAAACATGACGTGCGAGAATTCTCATTTAAAACAATTTTCCGAAAAACGCCATGTTAATTTTGTGTTTTAAATATGAGGCTGCTGTGCATAAATCACGTGCAAACTGCTCGCAGACAAAACAAACGGTGACATTTTTGCAAAACGTCGCCGTCGTCGCCGCAGCAGCCATTGCAGCAAGGCCCATTGCAGCAGCCCAAGGCCCTATATAGAAGGTATGCTCATTAGGCCGAAGCAGCGATTTCCGTGACGTCACAGGTACGAAGGGTCGGACGGCTGTAATGCAATCCTATGGAAAATGACCCAACTTTAGGGCTCTCCCACATAGCTCACAGACTCGACACTAAGGTAAAAATTATATCACATAAAACCTCGAATCAAGACGAACAAGAAACCTATCTGACGTTTTTACGTATTACTAACGGCTTAGACTCTATTCAAGTATATTCAGAGCTCTGCATTACCTCACTTTTTCTGCCGTCAATGCCACTACAAATGTCTAGTCGGCGCACGTGCGCTTGTCGAGCGGGGACCACCAGTCGGGCGATTCAGAGCTGCCGCCCAATCAGAACGCCGCAATGCCGTGACGTCATTGGTCGCACACGACACGTTACGGAGATAGGGATGAGACAGCCCTGGCAGCAGCCTTAGCAGCAGCATTCACTTGGTTATAGATGAACACATGAGGTGAAAAATCGTAATAATGTGTATTATCTAAAGTTTCTGATATTGGAATTTCAACCCGATCAAGAAGACATCAGGACTTGCTGCTGAACGAAGAGTGTGTGAACGAGCAAGTGTGAATTAATGCAAGGAGCCGAACAAACGACGCATGTTTATAAATATATTTTCTGTCTGCAGTCGGGTTATTATTTATGATCATGTGCTCTTTCCTCTTCCCCAAAAATCTAGTCCAAATTTTTTTCTTTACCTCACAAATAACCCTCTTTACACACAAAACTATACAGAAATGGGCAGTTTTGCACATTCGTGATAATAAATTACGACTTAAAATTGTTTTAAATACACTTAACATCACTTTTCCGTCGTGCAAGAATATTTATGCACTCAACTTTGCAATTTAAGACCACTCGTGCTTAAATGATTATTTAAGCACTTGTTCATAAATGAACTCCCTACGGTCGTTCATTTATGAACATGTGCTTAAATAATCATTTAAGCACATGTGGTCTTAAATCGCAAAGTCTCGTGCATAAATATTCTTACACTCCGGAAAAGTGACGTTAACATATATTTTGAAGAGCATAGAAATATGACACCACACAAGATGTGGTGGGAGGCATGTCAGGGTAAGGGGTGAAGGAGCAAATAACGTACATAGTTGCCTGATATGAGACGAAAGAAGAACGGCAGAACGTATTTTCAGCTCAGCCTGCTAGGCTTCTGGCAAAATATTTGAAACGGCTAAGAAGCGTATTTGCCTGTTCACAATACCTCTGCACCTGTTCACATTACCATGTTCCCTGATAAATGTCCGTCCCAGAAAGGGGCGAAAGATCGGTTCCGGCACTCTCTCGACATTAGGCCTGCCCATGTCGACTTTACGGGCCTTACGCAAGTTGGCGGAGAGTGAGGTGGCCCGTGTTATATGTAGACGAGATTAGCGTTTGATGACGTACCACGTTCTGTCCTGTGTCCTCTAACCGCACCTGTGTTCCCTTTTCCCGGAGCAGCACCTGACCACCCCTCCTCCACCAGCGGCACCTATCGGCACCTACAGCACCTGACCACCCCTTCTCCCGCAGCGGGAGCGGCAAGTCCACGCTGATGACGACTCTGGCGCAGCGCAACCCCGGGGAGGTGATGGTGGACGCCGACATCCAGTACAACGGACAGCCGGCCACCAAGCAGATGCGCAGCATGGCCGGCTTCGTCTACCAGGACGACATGTTCGTCGGATCGCTCACCGTCCGAGAGCACCTCGAGTTCGCGGTACGGCGCCGCTCCGGCTCCAGCGCTGGGGTTGTTGTTGTTGTTGTTAGCAAGATATTTTCTTCTCCTTTTCATCCTTGCTCTCCTTTTTCATTCCTCTAATCTTTTTCCTTCTCCTTACTTCTTCTGTTTATGTTTTTACCTATCATTCTTTTTTTTCTCCCTTATTTATTCTCTCCTTTCTTCTCTTCTTTCTCCCTGTTCTTTCTTCTTATCTCCTCTCTCCTCCCTCGCTCTCCCTCATCCCCTCTCCTACATTTTGCCCCGTTATTCATATGACATCCTCCAGTTCAGGTGTCGCCCTGACAACGCCTGAAACACTATGCCGACAGGCGCGTCTCAAAATGGAGCGTCACACGACTGCCGCCGAGCGGCGCGCTCGCATCGACACCATCATGATCAACCTGGGCCTGAAGAAGTCGGAGCACACCCGAATCGGAGTTCCCGGCCAGAAAAAGAGCCTCTCCGGCGGCGAGCGCAAGAGGCTGGCCTTCGCCGCAGAGGTAAGCTTAGGGGCACCTCGGAGCGGAAGTATCTAATCTGGAATTCATACTCGCCTTCATACGTTTTACATGCAAAAAGTGTGTGATGAAGTTGTTGGTTCCAGCTCGTTGGTTCCTAACTATTACCGCCTGAGGTCTCAAGCGATCATGTTCCTCACCTAACAGACAGTCATATAGTTAGGTTGGGGTGCATTGCGTTGTTTCTCCTCATCCTTTCCTTCAGCATGCATGGCCTGTTTCAACTGCAATCACATTCGCACTGTTCCAGGCCTAAGCTCTCGGCAATAGCCGGTATTGGCCGGGAAGTGACAGGCACTCTCATTTCCGCGGGCACTCATTCCATTTCTCAGATCCTCACGGATCCGCCGCTGCTGTTCTGCGACGAGCCCACCACCGGTCTGGACTCGTACAACGCCGAGAGGATCGTCTCCATGCTCAAGGAGATGGCCTACCACGGCAAGACGATCCTGTGCACCATCCACCAGCCGAGCTCGGGACTGTTCGCCATGTTCGACCAGCTCATGTTCCTTTCCGAGGGCCGGCTGGCCTACATGGGCTCCGCCACCAACGCCGCAGAATTCTTCACCAGGTCAGTCAGTCGTGAGATCGGTGTTGTGGGTCCTGATTCCGATAAACCAGACTCTGATGTTGGCTATGATGTCGACGCTGATGGACGTTTAAAAAACTATTTTGGCATTTTCTTCGTCACTGAGAAATGTCTGGATATCATCATTGTTATCCCGATGTTATTCTCTATCACAAAAGCCGCCATCTGGTTTCATCAGTGCGAGTGTTCTTTCTTACATCATCAATACCTACTCCTGGGACATAAACAGTGACCTGGGGTCAAAGTACAACAAACACTAAGTTCGCGGCTCGTACCATTCAAACGTCATGGCTAACGAATGCCTGGAAATATTGTTGAAGTTCCCAGAACTTCACTGTATACAGTACAATCGTACGCTATGACGCCACAGTCCAGTGACTACCCAAACACAGCCACCGCTCTGACAGACCCTCCTCTGCTCGACAGCCTGAACCTGATTTGCCCGGCCACCTACAACGCGGCCGACTTCTACATCCACTGCTTGGCCGTGGCGCCCGGCAGAGAGGCGCAGAGTCGCGAGCGCATCAAGGCGATCTGCGACAACTTCAGCGTCTCTTCGCACGCCAAGGACATGGCCGTGACGGCCCAGTACCACGAGGCGGCCGCACTGGCGCACACTCAGGCCAGACGGGTACGTGGAACCGAGCAGGCCGCCTATTTCTTCGAAAACCCCGAAGAGGCTGGTCTGCAATGCTATGCAATTTTATGTGTGGTATGTGTTAGAATTGCAGACCGATAGTAGGACCGGCACAGGGCACTGCGCAGCACGTCTTTATATGGTGTGCTGATGAATTGTTTCATGGTAACATACTACCGACTATATCCACACATGCGAAGAAATCCACAGACCACAAATAGACATTAGGCCGGCCAAGGTTCAATGTTGTTGTTGACTTAATCTGCTGTTAGGAGCAGTCATATGTCCCGTAAGTAAAAGCAAACATTGAGTTCTAGCGATGCAATCCCACCACTAGAACAGGAAGCTAATCCCGCTTTGTTTTCCTTTTCAGTATGAGTGCCGAGAGCTCACCAGGAGTGCAGTGTAAGTAACAACTGAATGACTTACAAGTTACTAACAAATAGCTAAGTGAATCACATGAGGAGAAACAGATCAACGATGCTAATCTACTTTCGCCCCAGGCTGTTGAGATGCAATCTCTAAGGAACCTCGTGAAGTTCGCAACTATTTACTTGGTACAATAACGTTGAAAGCAATCCTACAAACCTCTCTCCTGGACTGATGTGCCTTTCCGGCGCAGAGCTCCCCCTATCCACCGACTCCGTCCCGTGGCGTGTACGACGACTGAGCCACTCGATGGTCGGCCCAAGGAGTTCGGCGAAGCGGCCGATTTGTGACACGCCACGGCGGCGCGCGGCGTGCCGCAGACGGCCTGCCCCGATTGCACGGGAAGTGGGCTAGGTCGGAGTCCGCCCTGAACTGTATGTATAACGCACGTCCCGGCGTCCGCGCCTGGGGTGACCAGCCGCACCTCCAGGCGCGCGCCGTACCGATATCGCCTGAGTGATGGAATGACCTTCTGAGCGTTGCATCGATAAATACTTATATAACAGTCTTGAACCCATGGTGGGTGGGAATGTTGAGTGGGATATGCTAGTCTCCTGATATCCCGAGGAAAACTAAAAGGAAGTAACCAAACGAAACCAGGCCTGTGTAATTAAACAGTTGATCACATTTAAAAGTCTATGCCATGATATATTTAATGACTAACCTACTTCACTGTGGCTGTAAGGCGACTTTCCGCTCACTTTTGATAAGCAATAAATATGTTTTGACTTTACCAAAATTGCATGCATAGTAACATTACACCCCGCACTGCTGCCCTTTCCGGTAAAGCTCCAAGTGAGCCGATGTCCTCGATTGTATGTTAATCCGCATGGGAGTGTGCACGGCAGGGCCCCAGACCCCTCCCTCTCCTGTCAACCGATACTGCAAGCGGCCGCTCGTCACTGCAGCTTACATAAGCGCTCCATGCGGCCAGGATAGTACTATACCGTGTTGACAATCGGTGTGGCTTATGTAAGACGTCTCAAACACCCGGCTACTATGTTTAGTACACCTTACAAACTCCGATTCTCCGAAGAAGGTGGTCGCAGTTACAGCTTTACGGTACGAAGTGTTGTTGACAAAATGCTGTTCCGAAATAGAAACTTGACTTTGGGACATGTCGTGTGTCGGTTGACGGTATGTCCGATGCTTGAAAAACCAGAATAAATATTTAAGAGACGATGCTAACTTTACGGCCAACTGATTTGTAGCATACTGAAATGGGACATACAGGGTGAATACACAATACACAATACACATGCTATGAATGCATATTTTTTGTACTGTAAATAGATCTTTAATTAGCCGTGTTTGTTACGTTTCGGTACTGTAGCCTTTCTGGGAGCCATCGGCATATTCCCTACAAACTTACTTAGAGAAGTTTTGAGGTGCAACGCTGAAATTATATTGTGTAGCTATGCAACAAGCATTAAACACTTAACATTATCTATGCGATGTAATTCATTTGAGCGTGGTTCGACAAGCTCCACCGTTTTGACAAGATAGGGAACTGTAGTTTGCTCTTTTCTTTCTCCCTCTCGCATCTCTCCCTCTCCTCTCTCTCTCTCTCTCTCTCTCTCTCTCTCTCTCTCTCTCTCTCTCTCTCTCTCTCTCTCTCTCTCTCTCTCTCTCTCTCTCTCTCTCTCTCTCTCTCTCTCTCTCTCTCTCTCTCTCTCTCTCGCTCTCTCTCTCTCTCTCTCTCTCTCTCCCCCTCTCTCTCTCTCTCTCTCTCTCTCCCGAACTGTAGTTTGCTCTTTTCTTTCTCCCTCTTGCATCTCTCCCTCTCCTCGCTCTCTCTCTCTCTCTCTCTCTCTCTCTCTCTCTCTCTCTCTCTCTCTCTCTCTCTCTCTCTCTCTCTCTCTCTCTCTCCCTATCTCTCCATCTCTTTACCTCTCTATCTTTCTATCTCTCCTCCCACTCGTACGTCTGATAAGGAACAAGAACATTCAGAGAAACAAGCAAGAAGCAGTCGTCTCATGAGAATGCGTTGAGGTTCTCCATTTGTTTGCCGTCGAACATGTTCCGTTCGGTCCGTAGAGTAGGGTGTCCGATGTTCAGATCAAGTGTGACCCTGCTGCCTCTATGTCCACAGGAGACGCGCCTCGTGGTTCGTTCAGCTCTACTGGCTCACATGGCGGGCCTTCATCGACAGCATGCGCAACCCGGCCATCCACTGGATACGCATCCTACAAAAGATGGTGAGGCGCTTATCGGTGTGATGCCTTATGTGCGTAAATTCCGGAGAGGCCCAAACGCGGCGAAGGGTGCATATAATTTTATACGAATACTTCATGAAAAGTGTTGTCTATTGGATGATATTGTTTCACATTGAACTAGCATTACGACAACTGATCAATGCTGAATGATTGTGTATTTGCTATAATGACGGTCTCGGAGTTATCGAGTCTTCCCGTTCCGTTGTCCGGCACACCGGCCCATCTACCCGTCGAGCGCTGTCTGACCGAGTTGGCGCCCCTCCGCAGGGAATCGGTCTGATGGTGGGCCTGTGCTACTCGAACCTGCAGTACGACCAGCTGGGAGCGCAGAACCTGCAGGGCCTCATGTTCATCCTGGTCACCGAGAACACGTTCCCGGCCATGTACGGCGTGCTTTCGCTCTTCCCTCAGGTGAGCCGGCTCCGTCTTAGACACCACCCCTCACCCCCACCCCCGCACCTCTCCACGGCAATCTCCCCCAACACACAGCACCTGAGAGACAGCCGTCAAACGGACCCAAAAGGCTTGTTACTAGAATACAAATTCAGACTTATTATTAAAATACATAGTAATAAGCCTGAGAGCCTTAAAAATGCATTCTAAATACATCAAATTAAGTATCGTGAAAAAATGGAAGTATTTTATGGATATAAGACAATATCATCACGATGCGTGGCTGAAAACTTTTTTTAATGTTTGATATCTGCCGCAGTTTATATAAGAAACTTCTTTTACAAAGTTCCTATCGGATCGGATATGTCGATTCATCTGTCCCAGTTGATCAACTAAGAAGAAATGCCTATAATCAAGAATGTCAGAAAACAAAGACTCAAGTTAGCAGCTACGCATTCACGTTTATTTGGTGCGTACATGCTGTCTTTAAATGCATCGTAAATAGCTGATTTACAAATGCGGTTCGGGCCATTTTGTAATGCACCACATGCCCCTTGATTATCTCGTAGACTCGAGATGCGTCCAGTTTGCTTCGGTAAATTTACGCCAATTGATATCAGATGGCAAACCTTATCAAATGTGTCAAATATGTATTTGATAAAAACGATGGTGAAACAGTCAATTAATCAAAAAGGATGAAGAGAGAGAGAGAGAGAGAGAGAGGAGAGAGAGAGAGAGAGAGAGAGAGAGAGAGAGAGAGAGAGAGAGAGAGAGAGAGAGAGAGAGAGAGAGAGAGAGAAACATACAGAGAGACAATCAGAGGCACATCAAAGTGGGAAAGACAGAGTCGGAGACGGAGACAAGAGATTGCCCATCGTTTCGTTTAGTGACCCTTAGCGGCCGGGCGGCCGATGAGAAGTAAACACCGTGTGCGTTTCGTTTATTGGTGCCTCCTCGGCCGCTCGGCATGCGGACCTTCCTCAGGGGGCGGGACGGGCCCGATTGATAGGGCCTGCGACCGCGCGAGTCGCCGCGGCACGCCGGGCCGATATTGATTGGTCGCTTTCTGAGTGCGCTTTATCGGCACATCAGGGATGGGAGCATTCCGTGGTGACGGTATGGTTCAGAGCAGGCTTGGACCCAGAGTTTGTCGGTAATACCCGCAATGTTTGTGATTTGTCATCAGCCCTCTTTCCAGCAAAAGAGGAAAGGAAGTGAAGTGATTTTTGTCCAATTAAGGATGGAATGCAGTTTATTTAATACTGCAAAAGGAAAATTTCGAAATGTTATCTGGTGACATTGACATACCCAGAAAGGTGGCAATGGAAGATAAAATAGTATAGTTATACAAGGGAGGGGATAATACCTTTAAAAAAAATCAAATTTCCAAGAACTCCAAAGCTGCTTCTTGATGCGTCGCTTTGTGACTTTACGCAAGCTTTTTATTTTAGAAGTTACTTATTAAACTCTCTTTCTACACGGTAGGTATACGAGGTAAAACGTTGCGGAAGAGCAAGTGCATTAAATACTGTCCCCGATCCACTAGTGAATGGTGCTGAACTAATGAATATTGTTAGACTTCCTAATTTGATAAACTATCATAAATATTTAGTAGTGCATACCTTCGCCAAACTTAGGTGAATTGATAGCAGTGCCCGACTCCTGGTGTTTCATGCATAATTACATAAGGATAATTAACAGTGGGAATGCCTGTGCGATGTACGGTAAACCTACAGGAAACTGTTTACATGTTTACGAATCCCCACAGATGACGAAGCGACTTCGTTTGCCCACGGCCCATGTTTCTCAAGGGTCGGCGTTCGCTCCCAATCCATCATAGTTGACTCTGACGTGCCAGCCTGCTCATTACTGCGGCAAACCGATCACGTTCGCCGTGCATTTATACCGAGATTACAGCTCAGATACACATACAGTGGACTCGATCGTCCGAGACCTGGCAGGTCCCCGCGGTACGAACTGGTGACAGCAACTAATCTGCGTGACGTTGTCAATTAGGCCCACATGAGGACACTGGATAACACACGCACCACATAAGTGCCGGGTTGTGCTTATTATCGATCCGAAAAGGATAATTCGGCCCTCATCTACTTCATTAACCGAGACATTCTGCAAAATGCAAACTTTGCATACAGAAGATGGGGCTTATCCTTATAAGCTAAGCGTTTCCAGCACAGGGAGCCTTAAGATTTATCGATTTGCGTTACGCCCTATTTTTTCGTATCTTTATCTTGGTAATTACCTCACTATCACTCTCGTCTCTCTCTCTCTCTCTCTCTCTCTCTCTCTCTCTCTCTCTCTCTCTCTCTCTCTCTCTCTCTCTCTCTCTCTCTCTCTCTCTCTCTCCTCTCTCTCTCTCTCTCGCTCTCTCTCTCGCTCTCTCTTTTCTCTACTTACCCATATTTTGACACTGCCACAGGAGTTGCCGCTGTTCCTGAGAGAAAACAAGAGTGAGATGTACAGCGCTCCACTCTTTTACTTCAGCAAGGTGATGGCTTTGGTAAGTATTGGCACGACCTTGGCACGACCGTGCACGGTAATTAAGTATCGTGGTAATATGGCCGTGATCACCCTTACTGGGCATTTTGTTATGCTCCCTGCTGTGCCACAGGAGCCATCAGGAGCTAAGTCGAATATCCTCGCTTACGATTGCAACCTAAACTTAACTCCATGAGGATAAAGGATGGATGAAAACCGAGCGATGCATTTGAAATGGGTATCAGAATCGCGCATCACCGGGCTGATGTTCTTGTTGTGCATCCACTTTAATTGTTGTGTTTAATGTGTTGTTAATTGTTGTGCACCCAGGCATTGTGCAAAATTATTTATCCGTGATGCAGAAAGCACTCCATCTTCGTAAATTACAGCTGTCCAGCGGACAGTGGCTCGGCCGTGAAACCTTATAAGGTACCTACCCCTCAAATTATCCCCTGCGGCGGAATGCATCGACGGAGCACAAATCATGCTACATTGTTTTCCTTAAAGGTATTTATGTAAGGCTGCCTACAAGTCAGGAACGTGAATATCGAACAACTACAAAGCGAATTGGCCGACCACTTATCTGATATTTGATTGCAGTATCGTGACGGCACGACAGAACCCAGCCCAAGCTGTCACAGTCATAGAGATCTTATATACATAGAGATGACACGCCTATGTTAAAGCACTTGAATTCGTGGCGATTCAGTGGGTCTTTTTAAGCAAGGTTTTCTGGGGTGTCATGGCCCGTGACTTGCATTTTGTAAGGATTCGGTCAAGGAGATTGTGTTCACATCCGCTTATTACGGAGCGAGCGAAGCGAGCGGAGTCTTACGTAGAATAAAGGAAATTTCTGAGTATGAGCGGCCGGCCGGCCGGCCGGCCGGCCGTGGTCACGATTCTACGACGCTTATATCTCATATCTCATGAATATGATCTCTATATGAATATGATATGATCTCATGACCAGATCTCTATGGTCGGACAACACCTGCAACACTTTCATCACTGTCAAACATCTGCTACTCACATGCCCACAATACCAACACCACAGGACAAACATACAAACATACTGCAGAGACGCCAACATCCCACTAACACTCACAACACTGCTCGGGGACTTACACCCCGAGCTAACAACACTACTCATCCACTACATACACAACACTGGGCTGATAAATGACCTGTAAATCTCCTCCCCTAGAGCCAAGGACAAAAAAGCCAAAAAAAAAACAAAAAAACAAAAAAAAAACAAAAAAAAACATTGAAAACAATGACAATCAAAATAAAAGACCCCAGAATGGCAAAATGGCAAAAAAAAAAAGAGACAAAAAGCACAAAAAAAGAGAAGGGGCAATCCGGCTACCCGGGAGGAGATAGCTAGGTACCCTGACCCACCCCTCACCCCACCCTTACGAGCCAAAGAAGACGACGGACACTGCAAGACAACGGACGGACCAACAACGAAGACGGACGACAGAACCGGGCCCAAATACAGGACGCTGTGGTGGCCCGTAAGCCAAAATACCAGAACCAGAACCAGAACAGTCCCGTCCAGTAATGACCTGACCACTGGCCAGTGTCAGTGAGGGTTGTTTGTCCCAGCTGGGCAGGTGCTGACGTAGTCTAGCTATCAATAGTTCGCCGTCTACCGGCGTTCTGGAGCTGATGAGCCTATTGTCTGCCAGGTGCCCGGCTTCATCCTGGACCCGGTGATCTTCATCAGCATGATGTACATCCTGACCAGTCTGCGCAGTGACCTGCCCTCCGTGCTGATGATGTACCTCATCGGCGTGTTCACGTGCAACACGGCCGCCGCCTGCGGTGAGTCCGGGAAGTTTGCCATGAGCGGCCCGTCCGCCAAAACCCCGGGACTCGGGCTGTCGTATGAACGGGAGAGCTGCTGGACCCGGTAGTCGACCCTCTCCCGCGTCAACCCAGTGAAAATTGTGCGGTATTGTCATTCCATAAACCTGGTGAAAATAGTGCTTACAATTCCGCTGTCGGTGAAGCGGTTCACAAATGGATTCTAGATTGCGTCGTAGCCATGTAACATTAGTTATGGCATCCAGCACAGTGGTTTAACGTCATTCAGAATTAATCATCAGTTCCTTGAGTGCTTGTTCGTAGTTCGTAAAAAAAAAAACAATTATAATAATTCACTACTAACCTCAGGATAGCGGTGTCACCAACTCGACCCTTTGTCGCGCCTCTCTCCCTGCTAACCGGCCTCGAACGGCTCGTCTCCGCAGGCTGCTTTTTCTCTGCGGCCTTCCAGAACATGTCACAGGCAATGGCGGTGCTGATTCCGTTCGACTACCTCCTCATGATCACCGGAGGCATCTTCATCAACCTCAGGTCAGTGAGAAACAGGATGCACCTGCACTTTATCGCAAGCACAGAAGCAATTTGGCTTCAAGCGTGAGTTTTCATAAACATGTCACTTGATATCAACGCAGGAAAGCAATTTTTACAACACCAATCCTTTCAGGTTGAACGGTAACGACAGATTGCGCTAAGAACACAACAAGACGTTAGGTTATGACGAAGAAGTAGGCCTTTCTGTCCAGTGTCCGTTACCCCGCGCCCCGTAGGGCTACCGGCGGACCCTACCACCCGTAGGGGGGGGGGGGCGTTTCGGCCCCCCCCCCCTAAGATCTCGGAAAGTTACCGGCCGATTTTCAAAATTCAAACGGCGTTCGATAGCCCCACCCGGGAACTACCTTGTGACCAAATTTCATTGACCTAGGTCAAACTGATGACGTCACAGGTCAGGTCAAAGGTCAGATTTTCACCGTTCACAGGCAATTCAAGAAATGTGTTGTGAAAGCGAGTAAATTGGTAATTTATTGAAAACCATCGATGGTATGGTACATTGTTCGTCAAACACATACCTTGCTATCTGAGGTCACTGATACCAGGTCAGGTCACAGCGAGGTCAGGTCAACGGGGGTCACAATATGAATGTGTCGTGTGATACATGTTTTATGGTCCATTTTACATGACAAATGCGATTATGTGGGTTAGGCAGCCTTTGGGGCCAGCCTAGGTCACGTTTTTGTGAAGGTCAGGTCAAGGTCAGGTCAAATTAGGTCAAATTTCAAAGTTGATATTTTTGCATAAAATGGCTATCGATTCGATGCAGCTCGTCACGGGGAGTCTAATGGTGGTCTTCGTTTTGCTCTAAGATTTCTAGAATTGCCAAAAATTGAGTTTGAAAATTTGACGTCATCATTTTTGAACAGTTTTTTCGCTATAACTTGGCCAAAAAACGAGGTATCGATCTGAAATTTGGTATGTAGATAGAAGATGGTAGGCACTATCACATATATTCCGGTTTTTTTCGAAACTCAAAAACTTTTTGGATTTTTTGGCGAATATATCCCAAAAAAATGCTTTTTTGATTTTTGGGGGTCAAAACTCAAAAATTTCAAAAATTCGAGATAGCAGTTTTGTAGCCCTGTCAATTCTACACCTTTTATGTCTGATCATTTTTCTGTATCTTCAAAGCTGTAGTCCTGACAGGTCTTCTCGCGAAGGTCTTTTTTCGGTCGAAAATGACAGAACATGACGTCACTCTGACGTCATTTGTGGCCAACCTATCATAGCCTCTAGTAAAATTTTTTATCACAATGTGTAAAATTGATGCCCGGAGGGGTCCTGAAAGTTTGGTGGCGATATCTCTAGCCGTTTAGGAGATATCGACCGAAAAGGACAGGGGGGGCCGTTTCGGCCCCCCCCCCCCCTACGGGGCGCGGGTTAACGCTAAGTGCTCTTTTTAAATTGGCAAAATATTTATCGAGCGCTGTGAATAACATCATCCTTCTGCCGGACAATAAAAAGCCTTTTTTCTTGCGCTGAGATCAAAGCGTTGCTGGAGAAAACCTCTCCCAGTTAAAGGACCACACGTCTTTACCACATGCCAGTTCGAGTGTCCACCGCCCATCTGACGACACGAGTATCAGGCCGGGATGCTTTGGAAGGGATTCCAAAGTGGAATCACGTGCAGGCCGGAGATACCATCGCGTGTGGGATGACGTTTTTAATTGGAGACCAGACACATTAGCATGCATGGCTCATCAAGACAGAGCGTGTAGAGACAAACAGGTTTTCGTGGAACCACGTAATGCTGGGACATGTTTCAGAAGCAATAATTAGTTGCCGCATCTCGGTCTTATGTTGACAGACTCTTGTGGCCGATTTATTTCTTCCTCGTCACTCCCCGAGAGGAATGGTTACAGGACAGCACGCCGTCCCGTTGGGACCGGCGTTGACCTGTCGTGGTGGGGCAGGGCACCAGGATGCCCGAACGGTCACCCCGGAGGAATGTTTGATCATTTCTTGAATCTGCCCTCCCCTCTGGGTGGTCTGGGTGGGTTGGCCGTATTCCAAAAACAGGAGAGCTTTGTCCATTGTTTTGTATATTAGGAGATGATTTGGAACAAGTTCAATTTTCCTCTTAACAATTTGATGATAAGGACAAAAGTTGACATGCCAGTGCACTAAATTAAAACAAATGTTTGAACAAAATAAAAACTTGTGAGCAAAAGCTATAGAACAGCCGAAAATGTTTCCACCTCCTAAATCCCAGATCAGATCCTCTTTGCCCGTCTAGCTACACGAAACACAGAGATTGATACCCAATTTTAAGGTCCTAGTTTAACCGATGACCTCTGAGGTCAGGCCAAGTGCCCCAAGGTACGGTTCAGTTTTTTGTGAATAACTTCGCAAAAAAACGGCCGCTGAGCCGCGATTTTGTCAGCATCGTGTTCGCCTCGCTCAGGCGCGTCGAATGTTATACTTTTTGTTGGGGTCAGGTCAACTTAGGGTGTTGACCTCGGGTCACGGTCAGGTCAGCGCCCCCCAAGTCACGACGCTGAGCGAAAGAGGTCATGTCGCATATCATTTGATTCGGCAGGTCTTCCTGAGTCCATTGGTGGCTTTCCCGACTCGCTAGCTCAATTTGATCGGGAGTTATTGACGAAAAACTTATATGACCTTGATGACGTCACAAATGACGTCACGCAAGGTCAACATCGCAAAAGTGACGCATTTATCCTTGCAAGGAGTGCATCAAGTCACGATTCTGTGTGCTTGAGATAGTTGGAGATCGTTCCCGGCGCCAGAATAGCAGTTTTCATTTTTCCCGGTGACTTATAATTGTGAGGCCACGAAAATGGCCTGACTTCATATGACCTTTAGGAAAAATCCGAGATATACAAGTTCAGTGAGTCTCGTAATGGATACTAGAGCCTGCAAGTTTCATTTCCCTGTGAAAGATCCTCTGGCAGTGAGGGCGTTGCGCGAAGTTGCGAATCTGAAGACCGTGTAGAGGTTCGTTCACTTATGACGTCATAGGTCAGTGACCTGACCTGACCCGAAAATGCGGTTGGTGTCAGAAGATCAGGCTTGAATCAAAGGTCAGGTATGCCAAGTTTCAGCTCTCTATCGCCAGCGTGTTCGGAGCTATCGCGAAAAAAAAACCCTATGGGGGTGGCGGCACCCCCCCCCCCCTCTCTCGGCCGGCGAGGGTTAAACGACCTACACGACGTAGGTACACCCGTAATGTCCACAGAGCATACAGGACCCATGTACAACCGATCCCGTCTTGTCCTAGTAGTCCTTGCACTTCACAATATACACGACACAGATCATGCGAACCAGACCATGGCGCCACCGGAAGCCATGTGGGTCGGCAAGGCGGAAACCAGACCCGGGGACCACTCATGTTTTCACGCAAATAGAACACCATGCGTGAGGCCACGTGTTCCTGATATTCCGCCCGACGCTGGAAACCGTCAGTGGGTCATGGGAAAAAACGTCGGTAAAGAAAACTGGACGAGATTCCTTTGGACAAACAAATGTCAATTTCCGAAAACAGCTCTGTCGGTGACTTGTACACGTAATTCGAATATAACTACATCATTTGCATGCGTAACGATTATATACAAAGTGTAATGTAACTGCGAACCCACGCCTGTGATCCCAAGCGTCTGTCGTTTACAATGTTTGGTTATTTTCGCCAGTACACTGCCGAAACTGCTGACGTGGACCAAGTCGCTGTCGTGGTTTATGTACGCCAACGAAGCCTTCTCCATCATCCAGTGGTCAGGGATAGAGAACATTCGTAAGTACCCGCACCGGAAAACACCGACAGGACCCAAACAACGCCGTCGCAGCGCAGATAAACGACATTGACCTCCCTGGTGACATTTTGGTCTGTTTTACATCTTTCATCTGATTGCTATTCAATGACGTATCAAAAGCTGCAAAGCACTATTTTGTTAAACTATTATTTTTTTAGACATCGTGCTATCATTGCCAGCGTTTCAAATGACGTCTACTCCGCTATTTTCCGACTCTCTGGGCGTTTGTTCACATCCTGCACCTTCTTACAGCGTGTGAGAACTTATCAAACTCATCGAGGTGCCTGAAGAACGGCGAGGAGGTACTGAATAAGTACAGCTTCCACTCGGGCGACCTGGCGATCGACTTCAACGGGTTCATCCTACTCTTCACATGCTTCCACATACTGGGCGCCGTGGCGCTGTGGCTGCGTAGTCGCCGACAGTGAACCTAGACCCTTAAACGGCGCCGGTGACCGTCCTATATGACCGGGCACCTGTCCGACGGGAAGGAGGGCCGACTAAACAGTCAATGACGGAGACGGGGAGGATGACTGAGAAACACTGGTGATTAGGATTAGAGATGTGACGTTTGCAGTCGTCTGATGCGCCTCACAGAGCGATCGTTTATGACAGTTGGCAGGGAGGGACGTTGCCCGTCCGATATCGGTACGGGGATCACTGCTGGTCGGTGGTTACATATCACACCCATATGGTGATAGCACGGCGGACGGGCGGCTGATGCTTCAGCTCAGTGTGAGCTGAGTGGGGGCGGAATGCGTGGAAACGGGAGGGGTTTGCGGTATTTGCTTCATATTCCCTCTGGTTGACCCCAGCTGCATGTTGTTAAGTGCTTTTGTCTATGATCGTGTTTTGCATACATACTTTTTACAAATAAAGTATTAGGTACTGTGTACAAACTGCTTGGTGCTGGATTCAATATAGCCAGTGCCATGTCAATATTTGGGTGCATATGCTGATGTACGCTGATGATACAGCATAACTGCCTATTAGTTTGTCATTTTTAGGCATGATTGGTGTACTTTCACTAACATGCCTTGAGCAAACGTGTCCTCAACTATCAATAAACAGACGTACGCGATCGACCAATTGTGTTTTGACTCCAGAACATTTCACCCGGTAGTGTTCTTCCGTAATCAAACATTCTGAAGTAAATAAGTGACTAAGCAGCACACTCCGGTTTTATGCAATTCTTTATCGCAATGTTTCCGGTCAGGCTAATTCTCACTGAGCGACCTAGAACAAGGTCAGTGACCTCGGCACGACTTCATCCACCTCATTCACTTCAGAAGTGTCACACTTTCTCAGTAAGTGGGCACATGCCTCATCACATGCGAAGCAACAATCCAACGACTCAACCTTTATAGAGCTATCACCCTGGCACATCGCAGGCACGCGCTCAATGACGCACATTTTCAGAGACGACGACGGGAGGTCCGGCGCAGCAGCATTTCCCGTGCCGATGCGGTCATCGAGGACTGGAGGGCTCCGTGACACCCGACCCGGAGGTCACCGGCGTCTCATCTAGGGTCACTGTGATCTCACGGATTGATGCCGAGTCTGAAAGAAGCGGTAGCGAGCCCAGTCCCGTCGGATCTCTCATGTATAAGCCAACAGTTTGAAGCGGATAAAAGTTTGTACTCGAGTCATGCCTATTACCTATGCGTCTAACGTGAAAATTGAGGCTGGAGTTATTTTAGGATTGCAACGCCCTTAGAGAGTGCAAACCGCAGACCCAGGATATTAACCCGCGCCCCAGTGGCGGTCTCGGCCAACTTCGCCCTAGTGAGGGGGGGCATATGTTACCACCCACCTCTAACTCAAAAACTAAGAGGGCTAGAAAGACGCGGTAAAAAGCAGTCGATAGCTCTCAATGCGTACGTTTGAAAGTATTTGAGTCATTTTTCACCTTAGAGCAATATTGAGGTCACCAGAGGTCATCAAATGTCAAAATTTGCCAATTATAATATTTTTCAGAAAACATGCCGCTATCTCAGGAACTATGGTAGCTAGAAAAACGCATGGAAGAGCAAACGATAGCTTTTGAACTCTTCTTTTGAAAAGGTCATTATCAATATTGACCTCAGGTCAGCGGTTTAGCCTCCAGAGGGCAAAAACTCCCAAAATAACTGTTTTTACGAAAAGTGTTTTTCGACAATAACTTTCGACTTCAAAAAGCCACGACATTTCTATGGCCAGAATCGTGTTCCCCTCGCCGAGACGCGTCGAATGAACTATAATTTGACCTTGAAAGGTCAACTTGAAAATTTGACCTCAGGTCAAGGTCATGACCTTACCGGAATAGGTCATGTTGCATATCAGTCGATGCGTCTCAACAAGACAAACACAATGAGACCATCCCCAGCGTTCTAGCTCTTTCCAATCGCGAGTTATTGGCAAAAAACTGTTTGTAGCCTCAAGTGACCTCGGATGACCTGTCTAGAGGCTATCAGCAAATATGACACCTTGGTCATCACGAGTGGACTAAATCATTGTGATTCTGAAATATTTGGACTGTTCCGATGCGTACACACGGATCTAGAGGCATTTTCATTTTTCTCCATTGACTTGTAATGGAAAGGTCACGCCACTGACCTGACCTTAGGTCACAGATATAAAAAAATCCGAGATATACAAATTGTAGGCGCCCATAACAGCATGCAATCCACCAAGTTTAAAACCTTTCTGACAAACACTGCAGGCTGGACATGATTGCAAACTTTTTTTAGGCTTGGTCAGTTAACTTGACCTGGTGACCTGACCTGACATGACCTGGGGTCAAAAATTTCACACATTGTCCAAAATTGATGTACCAAAAGCTACCCCAAGCGGCGCGGCGCTACGCGCCGCGGTTTTTTATTCCCACGCAAAAAACGCCACAGGGTGGTAACATATGCCCCCCCCCCCCCCACTGGGGCGAAGGTTAACAGATTCATGCGAATAAATCCTCGAGGAAAGTAGGTACGTGGTGTTTGAGAATTGAACAGCCTTAACGAGTAAGTTCAGTTCATACTCCGCCCACTATACCGTGACATTACATCTCTGCCAAGTAGGGCTGATAATCCCGGGACTTTTTGGCAATCCCGGGATCCCGGGATTTTAGAAATGCAATCCCGGGATATCCCGGGATCCCGGGATTGAGCAGTTTTTATTTTAACCTGTCTACAAAGCAGAATTTTCTTGCAATATCGTATGTATATGGCGCATCCTTACCATCATAAACACAATACAAGGCATACACCTTCACCCCGAACAAATATAAGAGCATGAATGACATTGATCATAGTATTTCTTGTTTATATTTCGAGTCAGGATACAGTAGACGTGCCTACGGATTGTGGTCGTCTGACCAGCAGCATGTCCTGGTCACATTTAATTGTTACGGTAGTAGCACTTGAGGAAGCAAAGTGCATCAACGACTTCGTCGCCGAGACTCGACCGCACTTTTGTGACGATATTCCCGACAGTGGAAAACACTCGTTCCGACTGCTCCCACAGTCACACAGAGAAGACGGCCGACCTCCTCCCACTCGATGGACTCGAATTCGATAGTCGGCATAGTATGTCATCGTGCAAAATGATCTGTTAACCCTATTCCTGGCGGGCTCCGCCGGGACAAGAAACTGGCGGGGGGGGGGCCGATTCGGCCCCCCCCCCTGAGATCTCGAGAACGAAGCAAGATAGCGACAAGCGGTAAACGGCATCGGATACGCACGGCCAAGATCTACAATTTTTACTAAGGTCATTTTCAGGTCAGGTCAAAGATGACGTCACAGGGGTCGAAAAAGTTAAAATGGCGGCGCTAGATATGGAGAGAGTTTTTATCAAATAACTTTCGAATTAGTCAAGATAGGAACAAACTAAGGGCATCATCGTGATCCTCTCGTCAATCCCAGCTCATGCAGATTGAGAGGGAAATGGAATGTGCATGGGATGTGGAGCCTTAAAAGACAGGTCGCTCCCTTTGGTTGCGAAATCCCATAGTTGTTTGAATGAAATGCAGATTTAAGATCATTCAAAAAACAAAGCTAGATTAAAAAGTTATTCGGTTAATCTTACGTCACTGAGGTAGTCCGTTTAGCTAACAAGATTTGTTACGCTCTGTGGCGTAAAATCGCAAGACTTGTAGCACGATACACGTCCCGTTCATGACCGCTAAGATGGTGCGCGTATGTTTTTTTATGACACAGGCCATCGCGCACCCTGGCACCTTTCTCGGTAAAGGGCGTGTGCAGGTAACCTGCTGTAACCACGCTGATTTCAATAACAGTATATTATGCTCGGGCCGAAATCACCGCTATTAAAAACAGATAGGTTACGTTGATGGGCTATAGATCGGCAATTACGGATGTTTTCAGGTGCTATATTATTCGCATGCATTCACCAGGGACAAGGTTTGGGAGAATGAAACATGATCAATGACCAATATTTGTCCCATAAATAGCTTGGTAAAAGACACCCATTGTTAAATCTGCTATAGGTGCGACTGGCACAAGGTGTGAGCTGTTGCAATGGCGACACTGATTACTGGCAGTAAGACACAGATGATGTCAGACTTTTAAAACGGCTGGAAACAATTGTGGAGTGTGCCATCGTTTGAGTTGATATCGCACTGTAAACGTCTTCGAACCCATCGCTTTTATTAATGCTTAGGTAAGCCGCAATTTAAATCTATACTGCGCCAACAGGCACCGGTATGAGACAGTGGCCATGACACGGCCGAATACAGTCACAAAGCCGATACTACAATTGATCATTTGGAGACAGTGGACACTGAGGAAAAGCCAACAGGCAACAGCTGCTACTATTGGCTGCTCAAACCATTGCCTCTGGTCGGTAAAACTCACGAACTGAAAAAACAGCCACTTTACTGTCATTCTCTCCCGTGACGGCCTCGGGACGGGCGGAACTCACGCATTTCCGGTGGCCTGGCAGTGGGCCGTGGAACTGGGACAGGGTCTGTTGATAGGAACAGTAAACAGAAGCGCTGGCTCACCGCTGGAGACAATCACCGCTCATGTGACTGTCACGGTCGGGAAGGAATCACAGACCCCGATTAGAACAATTCACAAGCCACAACCGATTGAACATAGTCCACCCCGATAGCATGCACGCCAATATTGCTGGCGTTGCTGGCTTATCATCACTGCTGCAAGCGGCGCCCGACGTTGGGTACATTGCTCCTGATCCGCAAATAGACTCGTTGAACTGTGCTGAAGCCAGCGGTAGGAAATAGCGTTGACTGCCGCGCAACAGCGGCTGTCCATTGAGCTGTTGCAATTGAATTGAAGTTTGTTTGCATGAGGAACCGAATCGCTATAGAATTGCATTGACAAAGCGCACCGGAGAGGGGTAACGATTTACTGAGGAACGCGGGGAACGCCAGCTGTTCTATTGTAAGGGCAGGCCAGATTTACCAGGTCCCTCAGCTATGAGTGGTCAACCGAGTTTAATATGCACATTGCTTGAACTGAATTCGATAGCGTTTCTGAGACTAGCATTGATATCAAATTTTCATTGAGAATGCCTTCTTGCTGTACTTGCGTCAAGTCAATACCTGAAAGTTACGGCGGTTGAGTACTGCTTTTTTTCTTCTTTTTTTTTGTGTGGAAAGGAAAGCCAAAATTGACTTTCGCAGAACGTCAAGCTTTTAGGAGTTAGGACTTGGAGTCTCATGCAAAAACCGACAAAGGTAATCTTTCTTCAGCCTGTCCTAAAAAACCAACAAAATACCATTCTACCAATAAAACATGACAAATATCCCGGGAGCATTACTCACTTTTCCCGATGACCGAGCACCCTCTGAGTGATCGGATGGCGGCTCCGACATTCCGCGCACTTACATCGACCGCCGGGCGTCCACTGGCGCTCTGATTACAGCTATTCTCGGTGCCTCCCCGCGGGGCGCTCCCGGGGCTGACCAATAATCCACAGTTCGGACGTGTTCGGGGCAGCCGCCGGCGTGGCTGAACCAGCGACCTCGGCTGCCGGGGTGGGGCGGGGTTTGATCAGAGTGGTGACCAGGGGCGGGAGCGAAACGGGCCACTGTGCGCCGGTGCGACTGGCTACGAAATGGTCTGGTTGT